ACTCAAGCACACTGGCAGCAAATCTCAAATTAATTGATTCCCTTTGTAGAACCTGGAGAAAACAGCCCAAAGGAGCTGCAAGGAGCAAGCGTCCTCCGTGGGTTTTCTCATTCAGGAAGCAAATGCTTTCCAAAATGCCCTCAGATGCCACCACCCATGAAACACTGCGTGATCCCAAACTCCGAAGGCAGACGCCCTTCCCAGGCACCAGGACGTGTCACTGGTGACAAGTTAAAGTGCGTTGTATCACCCGGTCAGAGCAGAGGATGGAGACACCTGAAGAGGAATGGCACCACAACTGCTGGAGGGAAGGAACTATAACCCGAGTGACCCTGGGCGCACGGCTGGGCTCTCCACACCAGCTGCAGATACTGACCAGTGAGCAGGAAATAATCCTGAAAAACGCAGTTTCACTCTTTTCCTTTCTGGAGTCACCTCAACGATGTGAACAGCCGTTCAAAAGAAGGACCCTGTTGCTTCAGAAAGTAACTCTGAGCACAGTCCCACGGAGCACTTGCTCTCCGAGCGCAGTTTACACTTCGCCTTTAGAGCTCACTGTTGCTCACTAATCATTTCTGCCTTAACTGTGCAAAGACAACTATTTTGCTCATTTTGAGCCCCTGTCGGGAGGCACCTGGACAGACACTATGTAGCTGGAGCGAGTTTGGCTCTGCCAGGTGAGCGCTTTCCAAAGGAGCTTTGTAACATCTCCTCATCCCAAGGGAGACGAGCCAATATTCACACACCCTTCTGCGGGAGAGAGCAATTCTTCAGGTCTGGCATCCATCGCCAGCAATGGACACAGGGAGTTTGGTCCAACCTGGGAAGTGTAGGAAGACTGTAAGCACTTGTAAGTGTCACCGCAGCGCATGACCCGGACATCCTGCTCCAGCTCCCTCTGGCATCTCCTCCAGACGCTGTGGGGCAGAGCTGAGTCAACATGGCTTGGGAATTCAGTAGGAAATCCAGTTCACGGGCACCCTGCTGTCACCACGGCTCAGAAGGTGCTCTCGAGCAGGCAGTGACATCCACAGCCCGTGGGACACACCTCCTGGGTGCGAAACCACTCCATCATATGGCTGGTGTGGCCTCCGTGTCCACACGTCAGGCAGAAATTAGAGGAGCCTCGCACGGCCACATGACAGATGGCACACTGGAAGGTGAAGCCCTTGCAGATGGCACACTGGGTGCCGCGCACCTCGCTGCGACAGTGGCTGCAGTACACACCGAACTCTGGCCAGAGGAAAGAAACCCAGAGGAGGAAAGAAACAGAGAGCGAGACAATTAGTGCGGGCAGAGCTGTGGTCAGAGAAGCCCCCCCCCATTCAACAGATGAGCCCCCTGAACCCACCACCCAAGAGATCTGCCTCAAATCTCCTTCAGGCTGGGAGAACAGTATCTCACAGAGGTCTCAGCTTGGTCTCCACACAGGAGCAAAGATGTGGGCATCCAGCGTGCCAGGGCACAGACCAGCCCACCAATTTCCCTGATGCCTAAACTGGTGTTGGCTGGGAACAGTGTCAGATTTCTAGCTCAGGACACACCGACACACGCTGCAGAGAGGAGTGTTCCCTGCTGGTCTCATCTGCCCCACATCACTGGGAACCGCTGCTTCCCTGGCACCTCTCACCTGCTTCTCTCCTCCCAGGTTACGTGCACCTTTTCCCACAGGCCCAGGAAGAAGACATTACAGCAGCTGTCCTTAAGCAGCAGTTCTGGGCACCTAGGCAGCTGAAAATATTTTGGGAGAAACGTTCTATTTGCCTATTTCCTGGCTAGCTCACCCACAGTTACAGATCTTGCAACCTGAGGTGTGCACTAGAAGCCCAGAATCAGAGATGAGGACAGTGCACATCTGGGCTCTTATTCAGAGGGACTAAAGAAGAACCATCACAAACAGCTGAACACTGCTTGTGTAGCAGCACATGCCTTTCCAGCTTCGCTGGAGAGATGGTACAGTTCACAAAGCCCTTGGACCGACATCTCCAAGACTCATCTCCACCCAGAGGTGTGACGAAGCCAAACCCATCTGCTGGCAGAGCAACCTCTGGGCAGACCGATGGACACTGTTCATCCTGCCTGCTGACCGCGTGTTCCTAAGCTCCCGAGGCAGAGCTGTGACTCTGCCCGGGCAGCCGGAGCAGAGCCAGGCAGGCACTCACCAATTCCTTTGTGGGGATCAGGAGGACAAGAGACAAACTTCAGAACCTCAGCCCGCTTCTCTCGCAGGCCCCAGCGATAAAGGATTTCTCCATAGCATTTCTTAAAGTCATCAAATTGCTGAGTGTTGGCAGGATCCAGGAGCCTAGAGGAACAAACAGAGTTGTCATCCACCTGACCGACTCTCAGTCACAACCCTCTTCCCATCGCTGGCTTCGCAAGCGGCTCACATGGCCAGAAGAGCAGCAGATTACGCCCCACGTGTTGCTGAAACACTGCTGAACGCTAACTGCTCTAGCCTGCATTTGTTCTACACTCGAGGGTGTAGACTCCATGGGTGGACAGTCCTCCCGGGCTCCCACCATGGCCACTTCTAGAGGTATCATACACAATCCCAGCAGAGTTGACCTGTAGCTTCTCCAAATGACTCTCTTAAAAGGTCTAGGAGCAGGTGTGGTACACCACAGCACCAACAGAGACCTGGCTATAGAGTTCCAGCTGACTTGGGCACAGAGTTACACGCCCCAAGGCACCCTATAACCTACCTTTTGTTCTTCTCATGCTGGTCTTTCTCACGCTCCCGATGATCGGGATACATCAGGTTTCCGTAGCGGAAGTCATCTGGAGAAGACTCGCACCAGGGAGTGGAGGCCTGCTCCGTGTCTTTGTTTGCTGCAAGCATCAAAAGGTTGTGAGCACACCTCAGAAAGCCCAGCACTCAGGAGCACAACCTCATCCAACCCAGGGTGGGGAAGGAGATGTGGAAGACCACACATTCCCACACCCCGGTTTTCTCTCGAAGACGTGGTTGTATCACCTTCTGCATTCCCACAAACACTGCCCTGCCTCAGAAAACCAAGTGCCAACCTCTGCTTGCCAAGTGCTTCTACTGCATTTCTGGTGACAGGATGGGAATGGGGATCATCAGGAAGAGAAATCAAACATGGAGGAATCTCTTTTGCTTTCCACTTCAGACAAAAAGTAATCAGGCAATCCATGCCATGGAGTTTGCTTGGGAACACTGTCCCCAGCAGGCCTGTCCTGGACAGGGAGGACTCTCATCACCAGAGCTTCTCTTAGGTAAAGGGGCCTCTGTATGTCAGGTATTGCCCTGGGGGCAGGGAGAAGACTCCTAATAACCACTACAGGACATCAGCACCATTAACCCCCATTCTCCACTCTTCCCCTTGTCACTGATGCCCTGATAGCGAACTGAAGTTACAGCTTTGGTGCTGACAGGGCTGGTGCTGCCCCAGGCCATGTGTATCTCTAGGAATCAGCCAATCATTTCAATTCTGACACTGGAACCCTTAGGAGTGACTTGTCTGTGACACCTTTGCAGGCCTGCGGGGTATTCATGGCACCAAGAACCCAGCCCTCCCAACTGCTGCTGGTTTTCCAGTGACAGGAGAAAGCACAGCATTGCTTTTCCCCCCTGAACCCTGTCGAATTAGCTGGCTGATGACCACTCTCGATAATCGCTGAAAGATTGTGGCGATTGGGAGATGCCTGAGCACTGGAGGGAAGCAAATGTCACTCCTGTCCTCAAAAGGACAAGGAAGAGGACTCAGGGAACTGAGTCAGCCCTACCTCGATCCCTGGGAAGCTGATGGAACCACTAATCCTGGGAACCACATCCAGCCACATGAAGGACAAGGAAATTAGGTTGCCCAGAGAAGCTGTGGCTGCTCCTCCCTGGAAGTGTTGAAGGCCAGGCTGGATGAGGCTTTGAGCAACCTGGTCTAGTGGAAGGTGTCCCTGCTGATGGCAGGGGGGTTGGAACTGGATGAGCTTTAAAGTCCCTTCCAACCCAAACCATTCTATGAAATTACCAAGAGCAGTCGGCATGGAGAACAGCCTCAAACTGTGCAAAGCTCAGGGGCTGTGGAAAGCTTACGGCACTGGGCAGCATCGAGGCAGTCACTCCAGTGCTTATAGCCAGGCTGGAAGCAAACCAGTACAAACCGGTCTGTCTCTTTGCTTGTTTCCAACTGGAAAAGGCAGCAGTGGGACCTCTTGGCTCTGAGTTATCCCACGATCCAGGGTGGGATCCTATGTCGAGGGTGTTTGCAGCAGCTTTTCCAAAGCCCAGTCGGACAGCATGCTACAGAAGTCAGAAGGGGCAGGACTGCAGGAGCATTGAGCTCAATTCCAGCCATGGAGTCACATCCCGTTGGCCAAAGCCCAGAAAGCTGCTCTGGCAGAGCACACCTGCAATCACAGCCAGTACTAACTCCCTGCTTGCCCCACCACAGGAGCTATCTAAAACCTAGGCCAGAAGGGAGGGAGATTCCTCTATTTACTACCCAGCTCTTGGTACCTATGCTCCAGCCTCCAGTGCCAAGTCCAGGATCTGACATGCTGGAACAGGAGCCAGAGGAAGTAAAGCTGGGCTGAGGAGGAAAGGAGAAGAAATTATGTCACCTACATGAAAGAGGTTCAAAGATATGCAAGATAAATGGGAAAGAAATGGCGATCATACGTATCGGCTGTGGGAGGCCAGGTTGGAGGCACGCTGAGGAAAGGGGCCGTAGGAGTTTGGGCAACCCTGTAGCCTGGATTGGGCTTCAAACACGCTGCAGAGCATGGCCAGGGTCTGCACGTCGTGGAGCTGTGAGTAATGAGCCAGCCTGGGAAATGAAAAGGACAGACAGTATGAGACAGGGCAGAATTCAGGGGCAAAAGCATCCAGACTACAGGGTAACTTATTTCAAATCTGTTGCATAAATTGATTTGGTCACATTACTGCCCACAGGAGACATGGGTGCTCTGCAGGACTGGGTCGTCTTTTCTGTCACACCTTTGAGGAGCCAAGTCCTCCTTCTGAAAACACCCATGGCCTAACAATTGGGAGAAAGATGGGAGCTCTGGGAATCCAGCAGTGCTTGTGGCCTGATTATCCCAAGTTTGTGCAGCTTCAGGAACAATCCACAGAACTGATTTTAACTGGAGCCACTAGACTCACCCCCAGCCACAATGTTTTTTTTTTTAAAAAAAAACCCCTGTACATGCAAGCACCCCACATCTAGATCACAAGGCTAAACCTCACCACAGGTTTTCTGGATGGCTGTGAAGTTTCTGGATTGCTCTGAAGACTCAGAACAATGAAGAATGGCCTGTCCTCCCCTCCCACTGCTGTCACACAGCAGGAAAGAGTTAGGTCAAGCAATGGTATGGAAAACATACCACTCAAATCCCCTGCCTCCAAATAGGGTATATCAACAGATAATATCAATTACTAATCATGTCCCCTCCTGAACAGCTTCACTGGCAGGAGATTTGCAGCTAACACTTGGCTTTGAGGCCAGTCACAATGATTTCCCAGCAATGCTGTATGGCAACAGTGAATTTGAAGGTGAACAAATCAGCTGCACCAACGTGCTCATTTAGGAGGTGGGGAGCAAAAAAGCAAAATCTCCAAGTGGGGTGTTGCAGGCGTGCTGGAAGGCAGAGCTCGCACTGCACGTGGCCTGTTTGCTCAACCAAAGATGACCTGGGTGCTGGATGGGAGGCCAAATGCTGCCTCCTGCATGTCACAAACACACTCACAGCTTCCCTTCTTGATGCACCTCAGGCTTGAGAGGGGCAAAAAACACAAGCTGTGGCACTATTCCAGGTGTGAAATGATGCCATACAACGTACAGAGGTACGGAGGGCTCTGCTTCAGCAACCATTCCCCAACCTCTCCCTGGCATTCTGACACCTACAAAGACTCCAGTAATTGACGTCCAAATGGATGTTGTGCCCAAGGTATCTCCAGATCTGGGTCAGACTTCGGTCCAAGACAGAGATCAGTGGCTACCATGGCCAGTGACCAAACCTGGCAGACAGGAAGGAAAAGTATCAAAGCTACAATTAGAAATAACCACATTCCCAGAGCATAGGTGTGCACAAATTCACTCCCAGACAGATAATAATGGAGTAATGGAGCTTGGGTTTTTTGTTGTTTTTTTTTTCTCCTGGCAGCAGGGAACAGTTTCAGCCTCTGTGTCACAAGTAATATACAGACCAACAAAACCCCAAAGCTTTCCCTGAAGAAGAATAGCCTGTAGTCTAACAGACCTGTCAGGGTAGCTTGAGACGCCTATTAGGGTATCTTATACTCACAAACCTCGTAAGAGTTTACATTTGATAATTCTTGGGTTCAGAGATGTCTGGTGGCAGAAAGTTTACTGGTGAATCATTACTTGTGTGAAAGGTATCCTCTGAGTAGCTGTGAGTGTTACTGAACAGCTCTGTTCTCCTCGCACAGCCCAGCACAGACAGGAGTACAGTTTGCCATTTCTACTCCAACAGGTGAACTATTTCACATGAAATCTATCCTTAATTTCTCATCTTCTACTCTAAAAACTGTTCCATCTTTTCAGTCTCTATACCACCAATCTAGGACTGTTTCTTCTGCCTTGTCTTGTAAAGTGGGGCAATTAGAATGTTCCAGGGAAAAGCAAAGCTCTTAGCTTGGCATGAAAAAAAGAGGAGGAAAGGAAAAGGAACATGGTGCTGGAAAGAGCAGAAATCAGAGAGCTGATAACATGGAAAAGTAAAGGAAAAAACACGTGCTCTGAGTACAAAGAACAGCCAGGAACAATAGTCCCACAGCTGCTCACGGTGAAACCAGAGAGCAAGAAACAGGAGAGAAACTGAAACAAGGACAGGGCTGAGTACAAGAAAGGAAATGGGAAAGACACCTACACTGCTACTGAGCACAGCTTACACGTGACCTGCAACTCAAGCCCCATGTCTGCTAACAACAAGGCAACCTGCAGTACAGGCTGGAGTTACACAGAACAGGGAAAAACCAGCAAGAAACAGAGGTGTCTCAGAGAAATCTTACTGAAGTTACTCCACCCAAGCTCTGGTCCAGCATGGGCAAACCAGACAGCAAGATGAAGCACATACAAAGGGGAACTAGACCTACCTTCTCTCTCCTGGTTTAGCAGGACCCACCAAGAAGCAAAACAGCTTGAGTTTCTTCTGCTTGGATCAGGCAAGGCTATGCATGTTCCCAGCTCAGGTCTAGGAAGAGCCAAATGCTCAGGAGAGGTGCACAGGCTCCTCTCCAGTGCCAGCCCGCTTCCATCTTTTTCAGACACTCCTGAGTCCTGCCAGATGTTCTGCCTGTTGTGATGGACTAATCACCCAGAAAAGAATGGGCCAAAATAACCATTTTCTCCTACTGCTAGCTGAAGGGAAGTGGGCAGCCCTCTTCTGGGGCTGGGTCCCTGGGCTCAGACTCTCTTGGGGAGAAGCGAGCTGCAGTTAGCACCCAGTGCCAGCGCAGATGAATGCCAAACAACATGAACAATTACAGAAGTAAGACAAAATCATCGATCAAAACATTGACAGCAGCTAGACAACTGTGTGCACAGTTACTCTATTTGCTGACTCAAAAGCAGGCTGCATTCCTCACTTTGCCTGCAGGAATTCCCTGAAAAATATGCTCACTCAGTTTGGCAAAGGGCATAACACAATCTGCTCCCAGCCCTGGGAAGGAATCTCTCGATGCCAAGAGTCAAGGAGGTAGGGAGCACCACTGTGGCTGTTCCACAGACCTCGGTTCACCAACCAGAGACTTTCTGGAACAACTGCTGAGCCCAGCTGGCTGCTGGGGTATCAAGGTGACAGCACAAGTCATTTGAGGGTAGCACAGCATGCTGAGGAAGAGGTGTGATTCAATGTAATACCTGTACGAGATCCCTCCGTCCCACAGCCAAGGCTGAGGCAGCATTCTTCTGGCAAGTCTCCTGAATATTATTCACATCCAGTCTAAAAAGAAAGGAGATAAGCTCAGCTCTGGTTGGCATGTTACCTACAAAGGTGAGTACAAACGTGAGGAGTGATGGGGGAAAAAGTGGGACTGGCAGCAGCGAGTAGCCCAGAACTTCCAGATCAATATGAGCCTGCATGGCCAGGATCCCACCCTTCCTCCCCTGTTATTCAGTGATCACTGCCATCCTTTGGCAACTCCCACTATTGATCTTCTCTAACACACTGCACATCAAGTTCAGCTCCAGACTAGCTGGGATTGATCCTAAGAGGCACTGCTTCCAAGGAGATACCAGACCAAACCTGTGCCAGGGTATCACCAAGCCAAGGCTGACTCTTGTCCCTAGGAGCTGGTGCCATCAGTTACACAGTCCTGTTCCCATTCAGCCTGTTGTTCTGCTCAGACTGACCCGGAGGGAGACGGCAGCACGCTGTGGAGAAGCAGGCTGGTCTGCAGCCTGTTCCCTGGTAGGACAATGCACCCATCGGGGAGTCTCCAAGAGGCTGACAAGGTGGGTTGAGGAAACTCAAGTGGACTTTCCTGTTTATCTTCAGAAATCTTCCTGAGACTCTTGAAACTTTCACTGCTTAAGATCTTACAGCAAATGGAAAAGGGTCAGGCTGTTTATACATGAGATACCAGGAAAGAAAGGTCCAACAGTTCTTTTTGAAGAACATTCTTTTCAATAATATAGAAAAGAGAGAAGGAATATTTTTTTTAATATTTCTCCTCTCTTTTTTCCTTCTCCTCCTTTAAGAAGAGAAGCCTGCTTCTTCCCTGAATGTCCACAGATTGGAAATTCTGTTAAGTATTACCAAAGCTAAGGAAGCAAAGAGTCAGGAACAGAGATTTTGGAACTATCTGAATTAGACTGTTTGGAAAAAGAAGCTTCTTGCTTTAAAAAAAAAAAAAAACCAAAAAACAAACCCAAACATAACTTCTCCATCCTTTCCACTAAAGCAGAACTTGCTGTACAGACACTGGCATGTACAAGCAAGTCTCCAAGTGAATGGGGCACTCCAAACACTTCTGAAATTACAAGGCCTGATAAGCTAATAACCGTTTATAGTTTAAATATAGACTAAATATAGTCTATATTTTAAAATCTCATTTATTGGGATTTTTAAGCCTGTGCCTTTAAGTGTGGAGTTTAACATGAGATCTGAAAAAGAATACAGCAATACCAAAGACAGCTGCTTTCATCTGGAAAAGGATGCCAGCCTGTACTCACATGTAGAGCTCTCCCAGCAGCTTGTGGACAGGCAGCAAGCAGGAAATATCTTGGATAATAACTTTCCCAGCAGCTTTGATGGGTCGGTTGTTGGCATCTGTCCCCTCTCGCTTGCTTTTCCACCTCCTTGATTTCTGCAGAACAAATGGCAACGTGTTACTGGGGAGGAGGACAGCAAGGCTTCTTGGGCCAGGGAACAAAGCACTAGGGTCAGGAATAATGCAAGCAGCACCCAAACCTGCCTCTCAGAAGGCTCTGCGTTACCCTGGAAAACATCCATGACATGCCCAGGAGAACAAGAATCTCCATCTGTAGGAAGTGAAAAGCAGGTCAAGGCAGCGAGCTCAAGGTCAAACTCACTTCAAAAAGTATTTTGTGAGTTCTCCTGTGAAAGCCAATAAGAGAAGAAATCAGCATCGGGATGCCAGTCAAACCTGGGCAGGTTTGGCAGGAGGACACTTGGATTATTCTCATTAGAGGTCTGGTCTGGGAACCCTCTGCACACAGACCACCGCTGACTTCAGCCAACATCAGCACAGAGACACGTGGGAGGCAGGTCCTGCTCACTCTTAGCTTCAGGGCAAGCTGACAGCTCCAGATTGTCTCTTTTGGCCTCTCCTTTCAGTGCATGAGTACAGCCCTGCTCAGCGCCAGGACAGGGCTCCCACCTCCTGCTTTATCAACTGCTTCAAGCAAACACCTGGCAGGTGATAAAGCTGGGCCCAAGTTTTCCTAGCAAGGATCCTTAGCTACCATGCTTACAGCTACTTACAGCTGGCTCAGGACATAAGGGGCAGGGGGAGAAGAAAGGAAAGCAATCAACACAAGGGAACAAAAACAAGAAGCCAAGATTCCCAAATACTCCCCGTAACAGACACAGAGGGACCAGCTTAATGCCAAGTTGCAAAAAGCTACCTCGGCTGTACCAAGCACCGGAGAGTATTTGGCTGGTATCCTGGCCTCTTCCAGCTCCTTGCTCTAGGAGGGTGAGGAGGAGGGATGAGAGGATGTGCGGCAGCACGACAGGCAGAAGGCACTGGAGCTCTATCAAAGGAGGACGCTTTGCAATGCTGCTCCCCCATGGCATGTTCTCTCACTGACACACGGTGTCGATGCTCCTACGCAGAAGTGTCTCCTGGTCAAACTCAGGGTGTCCTGAGACACTTGTGGTGAGGCTTCCCAGCCCCCTACCCGAAGCAGAGCAGCCCCTTTGAAGGAGCCAGCAAAACAGCCCTGTGCTGGTGGCTCTGCAAGGCAGGCAGAGCTCAGACACGCAGCACCTCGGTGCTCCTAAAGAGCAGGCTGGGCTACAGGAAGGGCAAATCTTTGGCCTTGCAAGAAGGGTCACCTCTACTGTGGATGTCTGGCCAGCTCTGGGATGGCTGGGTGCCAAACTGCCTCTGACCTTGATCATGCAATCCTGTAAGAACCTGGGCAAGCTTATCCCAGACACAAAATGCCCTTAAAAAAAAAAAAAAAAAAAGGGGCAAACAAACTAATAACCTAAGCAATTAATTTCTGCTTCACTGCCTGTCTGGCCCAAGCTTAGGCCAATGTGCTGAGGAGGTCTTGCCATGCTGAGCATACCACTAGCACATGCCACAAGAAACAAAAAGGATGTGTTCCTGCAGTCTCTCTGGACACTGGGTCACTGAGGCTCAGAGGCTCAAGCACAGGCTTGACAGTAAGTGAAAAAGGTGTTTCAGACTTCATGGAGGCAAAGGTGGATTTTTCTAGGGATACTCACAGGATGGAGCATCACCAGTTCCCCTGATCTTCCACCACTCCCCAAAGTAAAGAGGAGAGGAGTCTGCCTGCTGCCCAGTATTTGGAAGCGCTGAACACTGGTGGAAACGGGGCTGTCAGCGTTCAGTGCTATGGAAAAGCTGGCTGACTAGGGCCTAACTCTGTTCTCTGCCATGTCCTCTCAAGTCCTAATCCACCCAAGCAGAATTTACCTGCTGTATTTATCTGTTACATCCCTCTGAAGCTGAGAAGCACTCTGCAGTGGGAGGTGGCTAGAACACGGTTGGGTGGGAAATCAAACTCCCTTCAGTCCATCAGTTTCTAATCAAGGTCCTGTCTGGATCAGCTCTGGCTCTCTTACCGTTGGGCAGACTAGACCTCTTCCACTAACACCTAAACTCATAGCTAACCTTCCCGTGCTGAAGGATGTGGGCTGTATTACAACAAGGTTCCCCAAAAACAGTGGCACCTGTACCTCATTCCTTGTCAGGGCAGCCATATACCGTCTCCTAGGTGCAGCGAGGAGCTGCTGATGCTGCCAAAAGCAATACCTGAGCAAAGCTTGGGAGCCCCAGCACAAGGACATGCCAACAGGACAAGAGTGCAGGTACTGTCCTGGAAGGGCTACCAGGCTTCTCACAAGATCGTCCCATCAAAAGCTATGATCTGTGCTGTGTCTGAACAGGCATTTGAAGCCGGGCTTGCAGACGCAGAACCACATTCTGTAGGTCTATCACCAAGGGCTTCTAGAGCTTGGCAGGTAATTTGGAGAGCAACTCGCCACCTCCCAGTCATCCATAAGCCAGCTGCCCCCAGGACTCGCAGCCGATGCAGAGATCCCTCTGACCACAGCAGCTTCACTGCCCCATCATTGGGAACAGATTCAACCTGATCCTGCCCTCTGCAAGAGCAGACAGAAGAAGCCTTCCAACAGGCATTTCAAAGACTAGAAACACGGACAACACAAAGCACTTTCCACAGGTAATTCAGTCACTTTTTTTTTTAATGACAACAAATGAGAATGAGAATGGAAAAAAGAGATCCCACAAATGGTTTCCACTGCTTGCTGTTAGCGTATCACCAGACAAATGGAGACACTAAATGCATCGGAACCCCCTAAAAACTCAGACTCACAACAAAACCATCCTGTTTTCTTCCTCTTAGCACTGCCTACTTCCTGGCAAAAAGGGAAGCCCTATTTCTTTACTGCTGCAGCTCCTGGAGTAGAGTCAGTCGAAGGCCACATGGCCTGCCCAGTACTACACTTCCATGAATGCTACTTCCTGCCCCTTGAGGTTGAACAGAAGAAAATCATAATTCTATAATTAAAAATCATGATTCTATACAGCCACACGTAGAATCACCAGTAAAAAATGTCTGGGTTTTTGCAATTCAGGTTTGCCTCAGCTATGGCAACAAAGTGTTAGAAAAAACCACAATCAGAAGTATAGGAACCATCATGGATGAGGTAAAGCTCATCACCACTGACAGCAGCAGCTCTGCTTTGAACCAAATAATTGCTGGTGTTAATTACAGGAGTAGCTCTCCACCAGGCAGTATTTGAGCACTTGTAACAGGGATTACCAGAGGCAAGGAGAGCTCCAGCTTGGGTCTGTCTGATCAAGGTGCACCACAAGCTTCCTCTCTCCCTTCTGCTTCACCTCTTCTCCCAGGAGAAGCTCCCACTATGGTGTTATCAAAAGGTGTCACCGAGGCTCACAGGCATTGGGGAAGAACAGAAAACACGTCTCTTCCTAAGGGCTGGAGCACAGGTCATGAGGGGGAGCAGGGAACATAAAGGCTGGAGCTGAGGCAATCAACATGCATGCACCAAGCTAACTATGGACAGCTGAAGATCAAAGACACAGGTCTTCTGTACTGCCCCAAACGTTTCTAGCTCTTTGTGCAGTCCAGAATCCATGCCAAGGGGAACTGCATCTACCCAGCTGCTCCTGAGAGTTTAAGGAGAGGAAGAAAAGAAAGAAAATAGCTACAGTGATAGCAAATTAAGGCTCATCAGTTCCTTAGAGCACCAGAAGGAAAGAAACCAGAGCATTTATGACAATCATGGGGTTGGAGGTGACAGCGGGGAACAGCACTGAATAATGACTAAAAAAGCCAGCCTGCACCTGCGCTATCATACCCAAGGCTGTAATTTGCTGCAATCTGAGGTGATAACGATGGCAGTAAATGGGTTACACGTAGAAACAGATAGCCCAAGAATAAGCCACCAACTGCTTCGTAGCAACCACCATCATCACTGCATACTCAGCAGAAGGAGTGACAAAATACCGCGTGCCTGCTTGGAAAGGAAGCCGAACAGTTGGGTGTGTGTGTGTCTTTGGATCCTGCAGAGGCAGGCAGTGTTCTAAGTAGCATTGTGAAATGTAAAGTGCCTGTTACACATAAGCATATGCAAAATTTTGGGGTTCGTGGTATAAACAGGTGTTAGTAAGGCAAAGGGAAGGGTTGCAGAAAGAAGGGAACGGACTTGATGCCGAAGATTAAGCTGCGATAAGGCATTTACAAAATAAAGAGTTAAGCCTGCTCAAAGTCAGGTCCAAGCTGCTTCTAGTTTTATTTCTTTTTCAAAATAAAATTTAAAAATTGCTGCCTCCCTGGAGAAAGCTGTGCTCCTTTATTCTGAACAACTGCCTACAGGTGAGCTCCCCCATGCAGGTCATGCAGCACTGCCTGGATTTTCTCTTCAAAATAATCAATGTTTACTGTTTCCAGTATCTCCCACAGCCCCAGGCACTTTCCACAAAGGAGCCAAAAAATCTGAGGCACTTTTGAATCAAGTGCCCCACAGCAGAAATATTTCTTTATAACTTCCATCAATTAATAGCTTGCACCTGCCCTAAAGCACAGGCATTTCTGAACTGGAGGCTAGTCATTACCTAGAAAGGAGAAGGAACTATTCCTTCTTCTAGACTTGTTAAGCTCTTGCTTCCCTGAGCACCTTCAATGATGTTGAGCTCTTCTTCCAGACGGAAGGCACTTGGTCTGCACAAATCATCCACACCTCTCTTCATGCATGCCTGCACCTTCGCCTTGGGCACTACTGCCCATTTTAGAGGGAGTGATTAGCCCCTTCCAAAGGTTATCAACAAATACAATCAGTCCTTCAGGCTTGGACTAACCCATGTATCATTTTTTAAGTATATATTACACAAAATTATAACTTTACCACATCACTACTTGTTCTTCCTTCCAAACCAGTGGTAAGGGAATTAAACTGTGGTGCTTTATACACCAGACTTTACCACACCACAAGCTGGCAAGTTCCTTGCTTGGTTTTCTTTCTTTCAGTCTGTTCTTTATCCAAGACAGAACTTCATTTCTTGCCCCAACTGCTCACATTTCTTTATTAGTTCTTTGCAAAAAGCCTTGACAGAGTCAAGTAAATTACTTCTGGTTTCTCTCACCTATTATTTGCTAGTATAGTCTTAGAGCTGTTGTAATTAGGAAGGCTTGATCCTATTATACCATGTTAAATTAGGTGTTAAAGGACTCTATTTCATTCCCTCCTGCCTTATGAAGAGATAGCATGAAGGACAGCAGCTGTGAAAAACCAGCTGTTCACACAGATGTTAAGAAAAACGGACCTAAAAGATCATCTTCAAATTGAAAAGGAGTTTTCTAAGCTTTGCCTGTGCTTGGCAGATGAGCGGTGAGATAGTAATTGCCCAAATTTACAGCACAGTTTGAGCAACGCTGGTATCATCAAAATGTTCATATGATTGATGTTCAAGCTTTAAGGACACATGGACCTGACTAATGGAAAACAACTGTCGAAGCAGCCTCAGAAGGGCAGGTGCCAGGAGGAGGGAGTACCTGCCAGGGTACTGGAAGTGCAGCCACTCAAACTGAATGCAGGGTGGTGCAATTCCAAGGGCTGAGAGAAGAACAAAAATTAAGGAGAAATTTTGTTTATCGCTTCAGGAAATAAGATTTTTATGGGGCATTGTGCTGAGAATAGGCTGTCATTTTAATGAGATGACAGATTGTTGTCAGCAACTCAACCAGTTTGTTTCTTAAGTAAACTCTGAGGTGATCCTCCCCCTCCAGCAAGGCTTCACCATTTCCAGAAATGAGGTGTTCTAATGTCAGCCTCATCAGGTGGCTGATGATGCATAATAATAATTCAGCTCCTCTGCAGTGCACCTTCTATTTCTTAGAGGTTGATCTTTTCTTAACACTTTAAATTACCCCTTGGCATCCTTTCCTGACTGCCAGGCCAGGTAAAATAGACATGTTGTAGGTCAGTGTCTGTACCCTGCAAACTAGTGTCTGCTCCTGTCCACTCACACGTGCGTTCACTCTTACTGAAGCCCTAGGCCCTGTGTGGAGTGCAAGTCCCCCACCTCTGTCCAGGTTACTCAAAGGCAGGCAGGTGGCATTTTATTCTTGGGCCCTCGGGCAGAAGACAGGGTTATATCAAGGACAGTATTAGCACAGCGCACAGTACCGGGAAGTCGTTAATTGCTTGTATGGACCAACGTCGCCGGGCAGAGCGAGGAGACATCTGTATGTGAAAACGTTATACCCAGGAAAAGGGAAGAAAGACACCAAGAAAATTAAAGACAAAAGGTAAATAAACTGAAATGAAAAGTGCCCTGAACCAGCAGAGTAAAAGACACTGTACCCAACGGTTCTGTTACACAACGAATAGCTGTGAACTATGATCCCCGCTTTCATCCACACCCAATTGTACTGTGTACTCATACCATGAACTGACAGCCGAGCAGAGGACAACACCCTGGTGCCCCACCATGCCAGCCTCTTACTCTAACCAGTTTTACTCCTCTTGGCTGAAGAGGAAGGCAGCTGAGTGCAAACTGCATCATTTTTAACCCAACTGTCCAGCCCCATGGCACAGAAATCTGCAGGAAGCTAAATAAACACTCCTGCTTACTCCGATATCCCTTTAATGTCCAGCATCCTCCAGGACTTCATTCACTGGAACTTGCTGTAGCTGTTCACTTTCATTTTAAACAGTAAAAGCCATATGTCAGGATATTAGAAGGCTACTTGGCAGGGCCATGTGGAAATTGTCGTTACGGGTTGAGGAACTCACTCAGGTTGAGGGAGCAATCAAATTCACTGATTGACTACGCGGAATAGCTCCAAAGCAGCCTTTCATTACAAACATTTCATCAAGTACTCAATGCAGGATTATAGCAACAATAAATGGAATCTCTCAAAGCACATTAATGTGCATTCACTTGAAAAAAAAATTATGTTATATATTCTTATTCTGTAAGACCCAACACAATAAAAAGGGTTGTGTCACGTGCAATCTATTTCACACTTATTTCCAGCTGATGACAGGCAGTCAGGACCATTGGCCATGCCTTCAGCCTCTACCTTCCCTTGCACCTCACTGCTGGGAGAAGCCCACAGTCAGGGAGCCAAGGGGTGAGGGTGGCTGGAGGACCCCATGGAAAGAGAGAGGAGAAGACTCTGCAGCCTTGTGCTACAGGATCCTCCATGAGGCCACACAAGAGGAGAAAAGGGTCTGCTGAAGGAAATTCAGTACAGTGGAGAAGCAAAAATAAGCCCAGTCCCCCTGCAAGGTCCTGCTCTGCTGCAGGCAGCCACTGCTGCCAGCGTACACCTCTGTGTGCCACCAGCCTGAGAGGTCTGCAACCAGGTGGGCACCAGGCAAAGCCTGTGAAGGATTTCCTGGGAAGCAGCAGTTTCCAAGTCCAATTCCCCCATGGGAAGCATGAGGACACTGCTGTCACCACTCCTGTGTACAGCTGTCCCTCAGGCAAGGCTGAGCTGTCCCTAGGTCCCCATGACCCTCTAACAGGGGAGAGAAAAAACACAGCCATGGCACCTTCTTGAAGAGACATCCAGATTTGAAACATGGATGGCATTGCCACAGTAGAGATACAGCTTCTCCTTTCTGCTGACTGCTATTCCTTAGTGGGTTTTTTTTGAGTGAAAAAGAGGGAGGAAGAAAGGAGGAGTGTGCATGTGTGAATAAAAAGTGAGAAACATATATATATATATATATACACACACACACACACATACATATCTCCATGTCTCTGTGTGTGCATATATATTCATATTTACATTTAAAGGAGCACAGAAAGGCTCAGAGCCAGATTTAGTTTCATTCTGGTTTACTAAGAAGATCTTGACTGGGTT